TTATATTGCAATTGATGAGTCCTTGACAAGCATTCTTCCAAGGCTGACTTGAAAGGACTCCACATAAATGGTTACACCAGTATCGCTGGTAGATACCTTTCAGAAACTGCAGTAATTGAGTTCATTATGAGAGAAGGTGCGTGTGGGTTGGCTGAGGAAGAAAAGACCAACATATCACATATAAATTCACAAAGGGCTGAAGTTATACACTGGAAACAATGAAGTGATTCTGATGGTAAAGTATCAACAGTGATGATCCAAGTGGACAATTCAAATAAAACTGTCTCATGATATGATTAGTTTTAAAAAAGGAAAGCAAGGTTGAGGATGTCATTCCCAAAAGCTGAGACCATGATTCAATCATACCCGCACACCAAGAACATATCTGACCAAGGAGGTCCTTCTCCTTGTTCATCATCTCACTTTCTCACTTTCTTCAGAGCACTTAATGCTCTGAACGCTTCCTATGTATTGGCTTACACAAATAAAACCTATCACCCTCCCAGAATGAAAACCCAAGAAAGCCGGGGTCTGCAGTCTCATTCACAGCTGAGGGCATCCTGAATGTTGCCCAGTGCCTCCTGTGTGAAGAGTTTTCAGTAAACATTGAAATGATGGAGAGTCAATGAATGAGCACCTAGTAGGGCCAGTGCCGAGGGCCGTGGGAGTATACAGCAGGTGACAACTAGTGTTTGACAAGTCGACCCACCAGGCGTATAACTCCCTAATGGGGAGCCCCACCTGGCAAAGCTGTGGGGTCACTGGCTGTGGAAACCAGTTGTTTTCTAACCTTCTCGGGTGCCACTGCTATGCCTCCCTAATAAGAACAGCTGTGGGGTGCTTTCCACAGCCCTTTGGTGGTGTGTTTTACATCTCTGGGCACACTTACAGTTGTGGATGGTCAGGTCATGATTTCTGTTTAAGCTGTATAATGTTGAAATATAGAAACAATACTAGGATATTTTACATTACTCAGACTGACATAGGATTCTCAGTCACAAAGACAGCCTTTTATACATTTTGCAAAGACCTTAGAACAAATTCAATACAGACTAAACTGCCCCTGCAGAATACGCACAAAGACTAATTCCCAGGTGTTGTTTATTGCTAAGTCAAGGCCAGGCTGTTTACATCAAGACATAATCCTTGCAGTAGCTCCCTTTCTGCATGTACCCTGACTGCTCAAGGTTCAGCGATTGTTTAATGTCTGGGACCCCTCACCAATTTAGAGCTATGTGCTTGGGTCAATGTGACATTATTAGCCTAAGAGAAACTATGTGACTTATCTGTGTTGTGAGAATGGGTAGGGCCCTGAAAATGTAACTTATAATTGTCCAGAGTTTGTCTGAAAGCTGCAGCGGCGAGTGGCGATGTGGAGAGAGATGGCTGTGTAGAGCTATGGGACAGTTGCTGCAGAGAGTGTGTGTGTGTGTGTGTGTGTGTGTGTGTGTGTGTGTGTGTGTGTGTGTGTGTGTGTGTGCTGAGAGAGAAAGAAGTATGAAGAAGCATGAGAGAAGTGTGAAAAAAGTGAGTGTGTGAAAGAGTGAATGAATAAAGAGTGAGGGAATAACATAGAAGTATGTGTGTGTAAGTATGAGAGAGCTGTGTGAAGGAGCTGCTGCTATGTAGAGGAGCTGTGCCTAGGAACTGTGTAAAGGGCTGTCTGGGGAGAGAGCTGTGTAAATGAGATGTTCAGCTGTGGCTGTGTGGAGATTTGTAACTGTGTGGAGACAAGGAAGATGAAGCTGTGTAGAAAAGAGATGCAGAAGAGAAATGTATGAAAAGAGAGATGAGTAGCCATGTGAAATATGTATGTATGTAAAGACATGTGGCTGTGTGCGGTATTGTGGAGATATGTAGCAGTGTGGAGACAGAAAGGGTCAGAGATCATTTCTTAAGATGAAGTAAAAGAGAATGTTATCATCAGAAGGCATGTGTGTTTCCTTATTTCACCAGTCATGGATAGATTAATACTTGTTCTTAATTACCCTCAGATAAAAAAGTTTCCTACCCCTCGATACTCTGAGGCATTCCTTTTTTTACCCTGAGAGGACCGTGGCAGCTGGTCTCTCATGGTCTGCGTTAGGCTAGAAAGTAAGGTACATTATAAAATTTTTCTCAGAAATTTACAATCATTTTCTGATCACTGGAAGAAAATTTATAACAACTCTTGCAAGTGATTAAGAGCTTAGGGTGACCCTTGGTACCAGAACCTTGTTATTTACTGACTAGATTCATGGTAGAGTTGTAGCCCTCAGTAGCTACAGAGAAAACATGGTCGACCGTGCAGGTATTGTTGAGCCTGGTACGCTGGGAACTGTGAGCCAGATGATGGAGTGGTGTTCTATATTTGTGTAGTAACCGGTTCATAGATTTCCCTCAAGAGGACAGTTTGCTGTTACTTTGAAGCCAGGTTACTTCTAGCTTCACTTTATTTGAAATGCTTCAATGGCTCCAGGCTGACTACAGAGGAATCTAAAATCTAAATAACTGACAGCTTATGTATGGAGAGACAGGACCCAGTTTCTCATGTGTGAACCAGGCTCCAGCAAACAGACTCTACTCTGAAGAAGGCAAGCAGGTATTTCTCCCCTCATCACTTAGCCTTCTTCAGCTGAGAAGCCCTCCCCTCCTGACACACACTTGGTTTAAATACCACAAAGCCTTCCCAAGCACCCTTACCTCCAGCCCCAAGTCCCCTTCAGTGCAGCCCTGTGCTTTCTCACAAGTCCTTCTCCCAGGAGGACTTGGTCTAGAGCTGCTCCTGAAACTGAGTTTCACACCCTCTTACCATGGTTTACCCCTTATGATAAAGCTTCTTACAGGCCCCCTAAACTCCCACTCCCATTTCCCAAGAGTGTAAAAAAATATCCCCCCAGCTATTTACTATGCTTCCAACTCCACTCAAGTCTCGGTTCAGAGGGCATCTCCAATGAGAGGTTATCTTTGATCACCCTGATGGAAGAAACTCCTCCCCTTCTCATTTTCCTAAAAAGAACTGTTCTTCTCAATAGAAGAAATATAAGCCTTAGCGGACGTTTTCTTTGTAGCAGTGATGTAATATAATGTTGTATATTTATTATGTATTATATAATGTATCGGGTTTTTTTTTTTCCTTCTAGAATGTAAGGTTTGTGAGCATGGGACTTCTTTTTGTGTATTGCTGTATTGGTGAAGATGATGGATGAATGTCTCTGTGTCTCGTTACACACTTTGCCTTGCAATTTTGCTGTTTTCTCTGCTGGACAGCAGGGATGTATACCGGTCATCTTAGTTTCCAACTCCTTCCTAGTTCTTTAAAGTAACCTGGAGTGACTTTGTGATACTCCTCATATGACTGAGTGACATCAATTGTAGTTACTCGCTAACAGTTCCCAAGAACGGAATTCTGAATCCATCCACATATTGCAAAAGCCGAAAAATACAACTGTATTTCCACTGACGCTTATCAGAAATTCTTAAGACTATATATACTTTAAAACTCAGGATCACTGGGCCGCAGTGGTTCAGGCCTTTAGTCCCAGCATTCGGGAGGCAGAGCCAGGCAGATCTCTATGAGTTCCAGGCCAGCCTGGTCTACAGAGCGAGATCCAGGACAGACACCAAAACTACACAGAGAAACCCTGTCTCAAAAAACAAAAAAACAAAACAAACAAACAAAAAAACCCAAAACCTCAGGATCATTCTCACTTAACCTCCCTTAAAAAATGCCCTGAAATCATACACATCAACAGTTCTGCTACAGAGTATCTGAGAAGTCCTGTTATCGTGATAAATAATGCTTAAGTCAGCTCAGGCTGCCAAGCAGACAGTGATGGCAAACTTTAAGAGCATGGGGTTTTGGAATCATGGCCATGTTCTGTCACGGAGTTCATCATAACTGAGAAAGTTGGGAATGACTTATTTAATGCACTGATGTAAAACATCTTTAAAAAAAATGGGTGACACATTTTAATGTGTGCATTAAAATATGGATGTAAGACTATTTGCTGTATTTTATAGATGAGCAAACTTGGGCTTAAAGAGGATTTTGGCCACTTGCTTTCACAGTTAGTAACTGGCTAAGCTGTATCTAAACCAAAGCTATCTCACTGTACCAAGCCACACTCTGGACCATCTCGTCAATCTGAGGTCTTGCCAGGTTTCTTTGTGACGGCGAATCTAAGGAGAGTTCTGTAATTCAAGAAAATGTGAAAAATCCTCAGGAAAAACCCAAGTTCCTCCTTGTAAAAACATGCTAGCTCTATCTCTACGTAGCCAATGCTTGGTTGGTCATTTAATAGAAAATTTATTTATCTATCTATACCAATGGTGGGAGGGGTTATGCAGACAGTCCTGGAACTCTATGCAGACCAGGCTGGCCTTGAATTCACACTGATCCTCTTGCCTTAGCCTCCTGTGTGCTGGGATTACAAATGTGCACCACCACACCCAGCTCCAACGTTCTGGATGTTTATAATGAGAGATCAAGAGATTTCAGATAACTAATAAAATACATAGGCACAGTTACTTCCCTGGATTCCTTTGCAGAACCATGACCTTCAGGTCTCAGGTCTGCTATCCCCTGAAACATCTAAGAAGGGAGGAGAGACCATCAAAAGGCACTAGGAGAGATAATATGGAGATAAAGTCTCTTTCAAGAACATTGTAGTTGACTATTGTAAAGCTAAGCAGAAGTTGACAAAATGTATATGTGATAAGAGATATTTGAAACTGGTTCAGAATCACCAAATATCACAGTGGTACTTTGGCATTAAGTAGTCAATAATATAAGAGCAATAAAGCTAAATTTAAAAAATCCCTACGCAGGCCTACAGCTCCAGCTGAAGACTTGGTCTGGACCTTACCACGCTTGTGGGAAAGCCTCCTATTATGATCCATGCAGCAGAAAGAAGACAACAGCAGCAACAACAACAACAACATACAGTCACTTTACATATAAAGCAGATAAATATAAAGACGAGGTATAAGAAATGAAAATAACATATACACTAAAAACATCCCAACAGAAACGGGCTTTATTTAAACCAGACAAGTGAATTCTTCCATTAGCATCAACTTCTTCAAGACTCAAGGATATGGAAATGAAAGGTGGTGCTCCGTAAGGTAGAGAGGTGAAGATTGACCAAAGAGTAACTGTCTTGCCTTTCAAAAAGCCCTTGTGAGGGTTCCCTCAATCCAAAAGACTGTTAGATCTTGGGTTACAGTGTGCATACAACATCCTCATTTGAAAGTGACCCATCTAGCTTAATGAAACCTTTCAGAAGGAAATGTCTGTATATGTGAGTATCATAAATTATATTTAAGTTTAGAAATGAAATAAAGTACAAATCTCAGTTTAAATACTAACACAGAAATTAAAAAAAAACTTTAACATTATTACTCATGATGTCTTGTTACATGGTTCCTAGGTACAAACATGTACAAAACAGATCATTATTTCTGACACCTCAACTCATGACTTCCCCTAAATCTAGTGTGACCAGATTAGCTATAAGAGCCCCTCAAAACTTTACACAGGGATTTGCTGCCATTCATACAGCATACACAAATGAGGATAATTTATGACAGACTATTTTAACTCAGTGTAAAGTAAATCCAATGAAACATTATAACTATGAGGGGTAAGAAGACAAAGATAAAATTGCATATAATGTTCAGTGTTTGCCACTTTCATTAACCCTTTCCTATAAAGTCTTCTCACTGCGGTCACATTTTTAGAACTTCAGATTATGTGTTTAACTTTGTGTTGAGTTGGTCAGCACCTTGATTCACATGAGCAATCACAACAAGGAAAGCGAATAGATAGATAAGAGTGAGATCACGGGGGACAAAAACAGGAGAAGGACTTTTTTTTTGTCCTAAGACATGAAACAGAAAGGATAAGAGAAGAGAGTAAACAAACAAACAAAGTGTTCACAGTGCAACATGCCAGAATCGTAGTTTCATTTGAAACCAAGAGCAAATCATGAAACGTCATGAAAAAATATAAGTAAAGGTAAAATCTCCTAGAGTAATTACTAAACGAAGTTAAAATTACCGCAATGATCAGTAAACCCCAGAAGAAAAGTGAACAGCGCTTTCATTACAGGCCCCTCTTAAACATCGCACAACTTTTCAAAGTTAATGCATGAACTTGGTAGGTTTGGCCACGCTGCACAATTTCTTTTTTAAAAAATACAGTATACAGAAAAAAATTATTATATTCCCCATTTTGTATCATAAGCTGGAAACCTAAGAGCAAAAGATCTAGGATTTTAAGTTATTTACAAATACAGCAGGTTCATCCACCACAGTGGCTTGGCTTCTGTCCCAAGGAGATGTCACCTTCTCTGGCAGTGTCTGTCAGTTCTCTGTCCCCATAGGAGGCTGTTTCATCTACTGCGCATCAGTCATTTTGAACAGTTCCAACAGGGCCCCAACAGCTCCAAAATAACCCTACAAAACAACAGAGAACCTCTGTAGGATTGTTTCTTGAGTTTTAGCCAAAGAACTATTATTGTCACTAGTTCTCAGAAAGCTGCCCTGAACTTTACAGACGTATAATATTAAAAACAGAATTCATGGCTGGGGATATGGGCTAGAAGCAGGACCCAAGGTTAGCATAATACAGGCTATGCAGTTGACTTCCTGCAATACAAAACAAACAAACGCTGAACTCTTTGCAAAAAGATTGAGTGATCAAATAACTATAATTTATCTGAATGCATATTTATCTATACTAATATAGGAAAGAACTTAGGGCTGTATCTGGCATATGGTATCACTGCCTTCCTGTAAAATAGAAGCTATTATTTCTATGAAAATGAAGATTTCTAAAACCCAGCTGTTTTAGGAACTAGTGTCTTAGTCATTGGACTACTAAATGCAACAAAATACCAAAGAGTGGGTGGCTTATAAACAACAGAACTTCATTTCCTGGCTTTCTGGAGGCGGGGCAGTCCACAATGACGGTGTTTGTCAAAGCCATGCTCCTTGTGGAGTGCTGTGTCACCTTAACCTGCCTTTGCAAAGGGGGGCTCTTTTATAGCGATGCTATTCCTCTCCAGAGAGCTCAGCCCTCGGCTTCTCATAAAATCATTCTGGGGTTAGGGTTTTAGTGTATGAAGGGGTGGGGTGGATGCTAGGACATACAAACCCCAAGTCCCTAGCTAACTAGTCTCTAAAGGGCTGGAGACACAGCTCCTCGTTTGCCTGGCTCAGCAGTTACCTCAGAGGTGGCGAGGATATGTCGGGATCTTTACTGCAGCTGCTGAGGCCTTATCACATGCTAGAAATTATTCTGAATTCTTTACATGTGTTAAATCATTCCATCATCAATCACGGGGACATACTGACATCAATCCTCAACATACTGACTTCACACATGTTGGATAACTACACAGAAGTGTGGCTGCTGGGACATCTAATTCTACAAAGAACTTTTCATACTGTTCCCACAACAGTTTTAATAATAATTCACATTTCCAAATGACTTTTTGTTTTCATTTCAGTAACCACCTTCAAATCTCCACTGCTGATGAAGAAAGCTTCCACTGTATAAATGACTTTTTGTGTGTGTGTGTGTGTGTGTGGAGAAGGTAATAAATATGAAGTTAAAAGGCAATTTTCTACTTGATTAATTTTGAAATACAGAGACCTACCTCATATGTTAGACAACCCAAAATACACATAGGACAATTAAGTCCCCCGTGAGCCTGACCTACCTCATGTTCCAAAAACAGTGCTTTCAGCTGTCCTTTAGACCAAAAGTCCATGGCATACGCTAGCAACTTCATTGAGACCATATTGATTCTGAGAAAGTTCCCAACAAATACAACTCTGTCAATATTCTGAAAAAAACAACAAACAAACAAACAAACAAAAACAACAAGAAAACAATTAAACCAGGGCTTAAAACAGCATTTAGTAAAGACTCAGTGTTTTGTGTGTGGTTGTAGATGACCCCCGCTCAGTCAATGTCTGTAAATGGAACTATTTCAGCATCTCCAAAACCCAAGTGAAACCGACAGAGCATTCCACAGAACAGAAGGGGCAGATTTTGGTCAGGCTACGCTGGCTTTTTTCTTAATGTGACAGCAAACTAGATTCAGTTGGGAAGAGGATCCTCAGCTGAGGTGTCTCCATCAGACTGGTCTGTAGGCAAGTCTGGGGGGCCATTTTCATGATTGATGTGGGACGGCCCAGCTCCCTGTGGGTGTGTCACATGGTGTCATGGATGGCTCGGCTAAGGCTGAGCAGGTCAGCGTCAGGAAGCAGCTTTCCTCTGTGGTCTCTGCTTCAGGCCCCGCCTCCAGGGTCTTGCTCTGCTTGCGCTGCTGCCTTGGCTTCCCTCAGTGATGGAGTTTGATTAAGAAATGAAGGCCCAGTAAATCCGTTCCACCCCAGACTGCCACCTCATGCTCTTTATCACAGCAACAGAAAGCAAACTAGAGCGTGGGCAAAGCAGACATGAAAAGGAACGAGTCGTCAGGTTATCGTTTACAGCCAGGTTGCATTAAGCCTGATATATCTTCCGTTTACAAACATATATTATATATGTGTGTGTGTGTGTGTATTATATATAATATATACAATTGAAAATGGAGTTGAAGTTACAGTTAAATCTGTCCCTCAGCCCCCCCAAACTCCAAGCATAAAACACTCTTACAACCAACTTATAAGTGAAATGAATGTCTGTGGTGTGGTTTGTTCATCTACTAAGACTGGGATATAATGAAGAAACAATATCCATCTCTGCCTTCAAGAGTAGACTATCTTGTCTGAGCAACAGAAGGGTTAAAATACGGTAACATGGGTGTAGATTTTCATTCTGTGAAACACTTACGAACATTCCTCTCATTCCGTGCATGCAGACAGGCTTCGGCTCCCGCAGCTCTTCCCACTCTACCCTAAGGTATTTCTGAAGCTAAAGACTGAGCTCAGCCTGCAGATGCTGGACCAAGGCCAGTTGCCATGGTCACTCAGATCAAAGGCAAGAGAGCCTTGGATGGTTATTTTCTGCTCTGTCTACCACGAGTAATCAAGGTCTAGGAGTATCATCTTTGAAATGTCTCAAGTTTTAACAATAGATGTTCATGAAGACATTAGTCACTGAAAATATTCCGTGGGTGAAGGACTTAGGTACTTTCAGTATATTTCCACATTAGAAATAAAGTTTGGAGCCACAAACTAACCAGACTACAGAACATGCAAGGTAAAGAAAGAGTTGGGGGGGAGGGTGCTGAGGGACAGATTTAACTGTAACTTTAACTCCATTTTCAATTATATATATTATATAATATATATGTACACACATATAAAGAGGAATTTAACTAAACTTAGCGGGTGCAAAGTAGAATTCTTGTATCACCCTACTAGGAAGACAGATGGAGTAGAGTCAACATTAAATTCTGACAAGCATTTCCTATTTCAAAGAAAGGCCAGGTGGGTCAAAATTACAAATGTTTGACAAAGAAGGAAAAGGAGAGGTGACTAAGGAAAACAGAAGTGAGCTCTTCTCAAGAGTGACGTAAGGCTGGAGAGGCAGCTCAGCAGCTAAGGGCACATGCTGCTCTTGCAAAGGACCAGAGTTTGGTTCCCAGCAGACACACGAGGCAGTTCATAACCGCCTATAACTACAGCTCCAGGGTATCCAATGCTTCTGACCTCTGCAACCACCTGCACTCACGTTCACATAGCTACAAAGACAGATAGATACGCACATAATTGAGAGCAATAAAAACTAATGTCAAAGTAGAAGAGCTATGATACTCAAAATCTAGTAAAATTGATTTGTTTACTTGAAAAATTATCTTCAGTACATATCAAAAGAAATGATTTGTTAATTAATAGAGTTCCTGCAAGCCAACAAGAAAGCAGGATCAACAATCCAATACTCAATAGGTGAATAGTATAGTAATAGACTGTTCACAGGTGCACAAAATGAGAATGACTGAACCAGCAAGAAGACTCACTGGGTAAAGGTGCTTGCTGTTAAGCCTGATGACTTGAATTTAATGTCTCAAACCAGCAGAGCACAAGGAAAAAAACTGACTCCCAGGAGTTGTCCTCTGACAAGGACCATAGTATGTTTGCAGCCCTACACATACATGCACACAGAAACACACACACACACACACACAAATACATGTAATTTAAGAAACTTTAAAAAAGGGAAACACTAATAATGATTAAATATATGAAAATACATAATCACTTATATTAAGGTATAATTTCTTTTCTATTAGATTAAAAAAATATTTAAAAAAAAAAAGGTTAACAGCCCTCTTAGAAATTTATATATTATGTTTAGTGGAAAAACAAATTAAAACTATGTTTATGGAAGGAGGTTTTTTGTTTGTTTGTTTGTTTGTTGTTGTTGTTGTTGTTGTTGTTGTTGTTTTCAAGATGGGGTTTCTCTGTGTAGCTTTGGAGCCTGTCCTGGAACTCACTTTGTAGACCAGGCTGGCCTCGAACTCACAGAGCACCTGGTTCTGCCTCCTGAGTGATGGGATTAAAGGCATGTGCTACCACTGCCCAGCTATGGAAGGAGTTTTATGATGTCTGTCAAAATTATAATCAACGTACCCATTGATTCAGAAATTTATCTTTTTAATTTAATTAATTAATTCATTTTGTTTGAGACAAAGTTTTACTATGCAGACTTGGCTTGCCTGAAAGCAACTATGTAGACCAGGCTGGCCTCAGATTCACAGAGATCTGCCTGTTTCTGCCTCTTGAATTCTGGTACTAAAGGTGTGGGCTCCTATGCCCAGTTAAAAATTTATCTTACAGATAATACTGACATTTATACAAAATCGTATGTTGTACAAATGTGTGCATAATACATATGTATAAAACATACACATGTATATACTATAGGATTTTTGATAATGCAAAGGCTAAAAAAATACCCTAAGTATCAGAAAAATGCTCAAGTCTTTAATAGCATGTAGAGTACTAGACAGCTACTACAAATGCTGAAATAGAAATACAGCAATCTCAAGACACATTGTGTAAAACAGTGAGAGGCAATATTTTCAGAGGTGCATATCTGAAGCATGTGCAGGTTGAAAACGATGGTGGACCTAAACTTCTCATGTTTAAGCTAAAAAGAGGAGTAGAAGAAGGAGAAACAAGAAAAGAGATAGATGAGGCACGGGTGGCCAAGTCCTAGAAACCGCTCAGTATGAACTGATACATAGGAGTCCTTTATCCCCTATCCTTCACATATACCCAGAAACTTTTACAATAAAACCCCAAACCAGCAAAGCAGGATGCAGCATAGTATGTAGAGGGTAGACTGTATAGTTTATGATTATTTCCCAGCTGATTCTCCAGAAGATCTGGGTTCAGTTCCCAGGACCCACATGTCAGTTCACAATTGTCTGTAACTCCAGTCCCAGAGTATCTGATGCCCTCTTCTAGCCTTGGTGGGCACTACACACATGTAGTGCACAGAAATACATGCAGGCAAGACACTCATACATACACAAATACATTTTTAAAAAGAGACAATGTTCTGTAGAGCTTGCTATCTTTGAAAGCACATGTTTATGTCAATCCATATAAAACACAGAATAAGGACAAACCAAATCTAAAAACAAGGGACCTTCCCTAGTGAGATTGAAGGGGAGGTGAGTGTAGAAATGGACTTGCTTCCCTGACTGCCTGTCTTCTGTCTTTGGGACTCTGCACTATCTACTCAAAACTAAATAAAAGGTGTAATGCATGCTGCTGGGAGAGAAATGACATCAACAGCCTTAGCCAGCTGTGGTGGACCTTGTGTGTAACAACTGTCCAAGCAAGATGTGCCCACAGGTACAACAGTGATAAGTGTACTATGGGGGAACCTACTGCTTTCAGTTGGAATTGAGACATACTTCCCAGGAGGAAATTCACATCTGGTGATACACACCCAGTCAATACCTGTGCCTGGGTAGGTCAAGAGGCCCTCGTTGGGAAGCTATTGTGTTTGCTCAAAGAACATGATGTGCCTATCAAAATGATCTTCTAAGTAGTTGTCTGTGCCCACGGATTAGAGATGACGTCAGCTTTAGTCAGAGGAGCATTCACGTATAAATGACAGCTGAATGACCAGGCGTCTATAGCTCTTCCTCTAAGGCTCAAGCAATATAGTGGGAAAAGGAAAGGAAAGAATGTAAGGGCCAGAGGAGGGGGAGTGCAGAGAGCACTGCTGACTTCCGGCCATGACGAGGCTGTCGGACTACTTCATTCACAGCAGCTGGGATGACCTGCACAAGACTGGGCCTTGTCACAGGGGTGGGAAGGGCTCATAGGTCCCATCCCTCCCTGAGGATTTATACAGTCCATGGCTGATGGAGGATGGAGCAACATTGTCTTTTTTGCTCTTGTAAACAAACCTTCACCAAGACTCCTGTTAAAAAGCATTAATGAAAATCATTGGTGAGATTGAAGTGGGGTGGGGGTGGGGGGCTAGGGGGATAGAAAGGGGGGCTAGGGGTCCACTTGGGAGGAGGAAGGGGAATCAGTGCCAGTGGGAGAGGGTGCAAGAAAGAGTAAGGGAGGCAAATATGATCAAAATATACTCCGTACAGTATGAAAATGTCATAATAAAACGCATTATGAACTGATATATGCTAATGAAAAGATAAATAAAGCTTAAAGTTGGGGGGAAAGGCTGGAGTGATGGCTCAGTGGTTAAGAGTAAGAAAATGATGCACTTCCAGAAGACCCGAGTTTGATTCCCAGCACCCACATCAGATAGCTCACAACTACCTGTAACTCTAGCCCCAGGGGTTCTACCTCCTCTGGACTCTGGGGGCATCTGGCTCCCATGTATACCCCTGATGTGCACACATATACATCATTTAAAACAATAAAATCAATTTTAAAACTTAAAAATAAAAAAAAAAAGTTGAGAGGAGAGCATTTCATTATCATAACAAAACCCAACTCAGCTTCAGGAAATGTGGTGCCCCATCATATGACATGGCTAAAATCAAAGATTCTCCAATCAGCAACTGTGGAGAGCCTTGCAAGGCCTGATGACCTTGGATTCTGCTCTCCCAGGGAAATCTGATACTGCCAACCCCTGAGCTGTTCAGAGAGCCCACATTAACTCGGCAGCCTCTAGAAGATCCTTGGTCCCAGGGTAGTCACTCCATCACTGAACTGCACAGGAAACATGCAAAGTAGTTGCTCAAGCCAGCAGATAACGTGTACATTTTCTAATGCGAAAGAATAAAGGCAGTTGGCCTCTCCCAAAGGGATTCTGATATCTGTGAAAAGACCTGGCCCGTTCCAGCAGACTACAGGGCTGGAGGTAACTCTGGAAAGTAGGGGAAAGGGCACAGTTGCTCTGTGGGGCAAAGGGTGTCACTATGCAATTGACCTTTGAGAGCCATGAGCGCAGCCAGCCTACCCACACACATTAGTCTTTCAGCTTGTTTAGCTACTTGGAAAAACACACTGTAAAGGTTAAAGCCTGAAAAAATAAACCTTTGTTTCCAATGAATCTCTTGACCGAAGTGGACTTTGAAAAGCATGTCTCTGGAAGCTGATCACCAGCAGCTTCCCATTTAAACCCAAGTGGACTAGGGACTTCCAGTAAATGCTGACTGCTCTCCAGGTGACTGTGATATACTCTAGTCAGTGGTGTGAAAGGAGAGGTCTCTTTTTGTAACCACCAAGTTCAAAGCCAGGATCAGCATTAAAACAAAGCAAAACCAACCAACCCAAGCAAACAAACAAACTTGCCTTGTAATTCAGCTCGGCAGGGTCTCGACAGATCCCCTGGAGCTGCAGTTAGAGGCAGTGGTGACCGCCAGGCTTGGGTGCTGGAAACTAAACTCTAGTCCTCTACAACAGCAGCTGGAAACTAAACTCTAGTCCTCTACAACAGCAGCATGTGTTTTTAACCACTGAGCCATCTCTTTAGCTCTTCACAAAGGCTTTGAAGTATCTGTGAAGTTTTATTTATTGATCTAGGCAGAGTGTGTGTGTGTGTGTGTGTGTGTGTGTGTGTGTGTGTGTGTGTATGCACACAAGTGTGTGATACTTATGATATTTACAGTTTGAACTGTCTTTTGCAAGCATGCCATATTTCTATTTAAAAATTATGTATTTCAAAACCTCTTACTGACCTGCTGTGTCTTTTTTTAAAAAAGATTTATTTTTATTTATGTATGAGTGCTCTATCTGCATGTACTAACTTCATGCATCTGCATGTACTAACTGCATGCTCTAACTTCATGCCAGAAGAGGGCATAAAGATCCCACTATTGATGGTTGTGAGCCACCATGTGGTTGCTGGGAATTGAACTCAGGACCTCTGGAAGCCAGTGCTCTTAACTGCTGAGCCATCTCTCCAGCCCCACCCCTCCTCCCTTTTTAAAAAAAGATTCATTTATGTATTTATTTAATGTACCTGCTGTGGTTCTTATCTATTTCTCCTATTCCATGCCCCAACTTCTTTATCTTGTCTTCCTAATACACCTTAAGGAGAGGGTTGTTCTACTTCTTAAATCTTCTTTCTTAGAAAGGGATTCCACTTTTTTTTTTTCCTCAGAAGAATGTAATCTTTCAAAACTTGTTAATAAAGCTTTGTCTGCCCCCAGCTCTACCCGCTTCTTGTGCCCGGGGCTCTGGATGGCCTTGACTGTAGCAAGCTCTCTTTGCTTTGATAGCCCTGTACAATGCTGCTTGAACTCCATGCCACAAGGCAACACTGTAAAGAAGCTGAAAGCAGAGAGAATATCAAGTACCGCAGGTGGGAGCGTTTTATGAGTAATTATCTACACACACACACACACACACACACACACACACACACGGCGAATGGCCCGTGTATTGGGATTTCTGACATGCTTCCACAGGGGTATCTATTTAAAAGTAAACTATATTATCTTTTTTCCCACTCACTCGACCCTTCTGTTCTCTAAGGCGCAACCACAGAAGAAAGGGTGAGATTCCTAAGAATGACAGCAGTTATTATACTGCCCAAGAGGGTATCTGGGGATGCCCCCGGCCCCCTGGCTTTCTCAGGGTTAAAGCCTTACCTCATTCAGCGCACACATCCGAGCAATGGAGCCGATGTTGTTGGTGATGGTGACCAGTGTGGCACGGGCGAGGTCTTCCTTGCTGATGGACTCTCTCTTTTCTTTACTCATCATGTTGCCAAAGCTATGTTGGAAATATCAGTGAGAGGATTCAAAGTCACCCCCAGGCAGGACCCAAGCTTCCACCAAGGTACTCTGGGAAGCACTATGAATAATCCTGTTTAAACTCAATGACCTGTCTTTGCTATTATGGTTTAAAAGCAGACAGTATTACACTATGAATGGCTGGCTGTCTGCTTCTTAACAAGGGACAAAGCAGTATGACTATTAACGGGGAAGAAACTTGTAATGCTTCTAGAAGCTATCTGGACAAGAACGAACAGGGGAAACTGGCCTTTTCCAGAACCTTCTTTCAAAGTTGCCTTATTTTAAGCACAAGTGGTAACCGTATTGGTGCTTCATTAAGGACAGGTGATCAAGTCTGAGATCTGACATGACAGATATTTACACCCGGCTGGTAGGCTGGCATTTATTTTAAAAAAAGAAAACTAGATGAATGGCCAGGGCGGACAGCCTGCCTTGTGTGGATTCTCTACAGCTCCTAGCCACTTAGTCTCTACCTTGATGCTACAGCAGATCCTTGAAGGCCAAATCGTTCATAGTCTCCTCCGTAAATGTCCTTCACCAGCTTATCAACATTGGTGCTGTCGCCTTTAGCTGCCATCTCCAGAGCTTCTTCAAAGGTCTCACAACCAGTCAGCAAGCAACACAGGCCTAGGAATGTCCCGCCTCCAAGACTGAAGGACAATAAGGTTGATTTTTTTTTTTAATTTTTGCTTCGTGATATGCCCATCCAAGTCCCCAGCTACAGCAAGACTATGAATGCGGGTTCAGAAAAATGCGGGAAAGCGAAGGAGCACTTTGTTGGAGAGCAGAGAGCATCTGAATCCGAGTGCTGGAGTCAGAACAGAACTCGAGGGTAGACTGGATAAGAAAAGCGGGCAGTGGCTAAGATCGAATGTCAAGAGGAACTTGCCCCTAAATTTGGGAACAGCATTGAGAAAGACTCTCACTGGTTTCTGTTGTGAGACCTTCAGCTAACTGCTAGCCTACATGCTTCATTCAGTCCGCTCACCCACGAAAGGGGCCAAACCATGGCTTGTTCTGCTTGGAGAGTCTGAAAGCAGCACATAGCCAGAGAAATGGCTGGTGTTAGAACACCATCTGCAACTAAATGCAAGTACACGGGGAAAGAAATGGTGTACCCAGAGTTCACAACTATAGAGCCAGTCTCTGGGAAGAAACCTGACTCCTGACTGTCCCAGCATGTCCCCCAAAAGGCTGCCTTCCCTGACCCTGCTTCTCTACAGTAATCATCTCATCCTACCTCAGAAATTTTGAGAGTAAAACTACTATCTACCTAATAAAAGAATGCTTTCTACTAGTCTTTAGGAAAGGGTACTGCTTACTTCTAATTACCACCCACTAGTAAGAGGAAAAAAAGTCACAAAATGGTTCCAAATGCTGGAAGTATGCTTTAAACGCTTTCCACTGTTTTGGAGGTGATGGTCCCAAAATAGACCTTGCTGCTCAACTTAGAAAATAATTTATGTAGCAGAGAATAAGATTAATTATATATCAATATCCAAGCTACCTGGTATCACGAAAACCCAAACCAGGGAAATAACTACCATTAGGGAAGTCATGGCAAGAAAGGGAACTTTAGTTCCCAACTGCTGGCCAAGGCTTCTCTGATTTACCATGCATGATAAATAGAGAAGAGCTTGCTGCTCATATCATTTGGTTCTGAAGCTTCAAAGAGCCAGTAATTCTGGGAAAACATTTTGCATTTGATCACCAGCTTTTAATTCTAAGGGGGAAAATTAAGTTGAGATTAAAGGAAAATAAATGTATAGCAAATTATACTGATTATCAATAATTACCAAGAAGACACCAGGTTATAGGCAAGGACATAGCTTTTAAATATTGTCTTCATAATAAAATTGTGTCATAGTCTCAGACTTTGATTCTAAAAGAAAAACAAAAAACCTTCAACTCAAGAGTTCTTTTTCCAAGGGCCATTTAGGTGTCGATGTGCACCACCAGCAAAAGCTACCCAAGTCACAGGTGTGGTGGCATCACAAGGAAACAGAAAGGCACACATACCAAAAGAAAGTCTACCCTCTTCTGCACACCAAACCCCACATGAATGTGTTTAATGAGAACCCTTGGTGGGTTATGAGCCACCGACATTTTCTTGTTTGCTCCCTGTATACTTAAAAAAAAAGTCTTGGTTCTCATTTTTAGCTTTGATGGTTTTTGTCTCTGATCATCTTCTTTGAACATTAGGCATCCACCTTGATCAAGGCATTCAACCACCAACTCCAGATGTAGGCAACTCAAGAGACTGGCTGACTTAGAAAGAAGGCAACTCATCAACTGATGTGTTGGTAGAACTGGAAATGGGGTACGACTAGAAAATGGTGAGTGATTCCAGATAAAAAGCTGGATGGGAAAGCAAGCATGCATCTGGACAGCTGGTGTGCTGCTGACAGGAGAGAGGAATGCAAGGTCACAGAAGAGCCAAGAGTCTCTAGCACTTGTCATTACCCTCAACCTTCGTATTTAGTCAAGAAATTTTCTTGCTCACAAGCAGATACATCTGTCTGTTTTGACAGACATGTAGAAAAATCCTCAGTATACCAGAGACAAAATATATAGATAGAAAAGGGCACTGGATATTATTATTCATCAGAGCACTGGAAATTATTATTCATCAGAGTGAGATGAAATCTTCAGTTTCTAGTTTTAGTAATTGAATTGGCAATGCCTATAGAGCAATGGACATTGATGGGCATACGTGTAAATTCCTGAATGACCAAGGGAGATGCACTGTTCCTTCCACTTAAGTTCCAGAGTTACTTTCTTCTTTTAACAGACTACATACAATAACATTACCTGTCAAGTATTAATTTTCAGACTGAGAATTGGACTTGTGTCACTGGAGGGAAAAATGACTGTCCCCAATCTAGGAAGCAGTGAAGGTATACAAAAGCAACCATTTAAAAACATGTAGAAGAAAATGGATATCATGAAATGACGTGGCGTCTTCCATACACTGGTGCAGCAGGGGGGGGGAGGTGGCTCCCCCAGCCTGGGGTGTGAGTATGAAGACTGGATCTAAGAGGATCCCCGATGCTCACTGGCCAGCACATCTGGCCTAACAGAATTGGTGAGCTTCCAGGTTCATTGGGAAACCTTGTCATGTATTTGTACCAGCACACACACACACACACACACACACACGGCTGCCTGTGACCCCAGGACTTGGAAGGCTATGGCTGATGTATTTTGTGGAAAATTTAAGGCTAATTTTGGCGGCATAGTGAGACACTCCCTCAAAAAACCAAAAAATGAAATGAAATGAAATCCACCAAAAAAAAAAAAAAAGGTTACAGGGAAAATATAAGAAAACAAAAACAAAAACAAAAAAACACGAACAAAAACCTGGAGTTACAACTCTCAGTTTATAAGAGAAGCAACAAAACTTGAAGCTTACACAATTTGCTTCCATCAATGGTCCCCACTGAGGTAGCTCAGTGGTAAAGAGCTTGCTTAATAGCAACGGTCCCCAAAGTGTGTCCCATATGCTAATTCTCACCACTGATCCTAAGAGTTTACATCTGATGTTTTCTAACATATAGCAAGAGCGACATCTGAGCTGGAAGTGGTGGCACACACCTGTAATACCAGCACTTGGGAGACTGAGGCAGGAGGAGCATAAGTTCCTCAACATCTGGGGTTTGTAGGCATTACTCCATCTGTGAAGAAGCCACGCCCAACACTAGCTCCGTCACGGCTTCTCAGGATGATACAGATCCCTGGGGTCAGCACATCTGAGAACACATCTGTGATGTCGCTCATTAGCTATTGTGTATGCATCAACAAAAGTCTAAGTATTTCTAACCATGGGAAATGTGTAGCTTGTTATTACCTTGAGAGCAGCTTTACCAATCCAACGACTCCTGGGAGAAGTCTGTAGCGGTTGTAAAGCTTACACCTTCGCCAGGAAAGCACTCTCTAAGGGAAGACCTGCTTAGCTCAGTATTCGTATCTTGATCCTCCTGTTGGTCCTAAGGAGACCGTGGGATCCGTGTTTGTTCCTGGGCAAGTAAGTAAGCTACTGTATTCTTAAAGAAAACATGTATGCAGTGCACTTTATAGGAATTATAGTGCACATCTTTAATCCCAGCACTCAGGAGGAAGAGACAGGTAGATCTCTGTGAGTTTGAGGTTACCCTGGTTTTCACGATGCATCCCAGGCCAGCCAGAGCTACATAATGATAATGAATAATAAGTAAAATGAAAATTAAAAAACAGGAAAGGTGGGTGCCTGGGAGCAGTTTATAAACATAACAGATACTACATTCAGAACCCATGCCAACTTCAGTCGGAGTGTGTGTACCTGTAGCACTATTAATATTTGGGATCCCATATATCTTTTGCTGTTGGAGGAGCTGTCCTGTACATTACAGAATTTTATCAGTATCTCTGACTTCAACCTGCTACATGCGTGTAGTGTGTCCCACCTCCAACTGTAAGAACTAGAAATCTCTGCACACATTGGGTAATATCACTTTCTCCCAGGAACACTGATTCACACAGCTCCGCCACAATTCATAAACACACACTAAAAAGGCAGATCCTTCCTCCCAGGGTGAAGAGTGCTGCTGCAGAGACCCAGACAAGTAATGTGCCACGTTCATTTGCCATGCACAGTGGTTTCAACACCATATCCTAAGCACACTCTATACAGTACCAGTCCTTTTAGCTCTTTTAAAAAAGGGTTTTTTTGTTGTTGTTGTTGTTGTTTTTTGTGGTGTAGCAAGTTGGAGAAATGTTTCATTCCAAATCAGCTTAATGTTGCTCAGAGCGGGCTTTCTTAATGACACTTGACAACAGAGCCTTTTGCCATGTGGAGCTCTCCATTGACTGGAAGCTGAGCCTGCTTGCCCTTCGTGGGTCTTAGAGTGCATGTACGGGGGGGGGGGGGATCCTCCAAGTATTCTTGACCCCCTGGAGTCACGGGGCTGTGTTCCTGTGCCCTGCATTCCAAAATTCCTACCAGCTGCACTGACTATCCACTCCTCACTTACAGGAAAAGAGGAAAAACCATTACGTCTCTTTGCTGGTTGGGATGAAATACGATTTCAAGCCATCTTTCCTGTCGTGACATCAAGAAGGTTCCCAGACGAAGTTTCTCTGAAGCATCTCTGACCATCCCAATTCCCACCCCTGTCCCAACCAGCCTTCTCTTGGGCTTGCAGTCCTGGAGGTCCCTTTAGCACTCAGTACATCCATCTACCTGCTGGCAAACTAGTGTGTGCCAACCTCCTTCTCCACCTGAGTAGGACCTCCAGTAGACAAAGACCGTATGTTATCAACCTTTACATGAATCATCCTCTACTCCTCTAATGTCTCATCCAAAAAACTGGTCATGGTGGCTCAGGCCTAAACTCCCAGCACTCAGGAGACAGAGGCAGAACTTTGAGTCTGAGGCTAGCCTGGGCTTATACTCTAAAGCTTTAGGGTAGCCTTAACTACAAGTTAAGATCATATGCCCCAAAACAAACTAAAACAAATATCCAATAAAACCCCTTTTTGGTGAGTATAGGAGCCTAACATATTTCTTTTAAAAACATAGCCAATGTAAATAATCTTTTACCATGTACTGCTCATCATGAAATAGGCGTGGTTTAAGCATAAAAAGGCTCTCCTAGTCGAGAGCATGTTTACCTGGTCCCCGTAACTCGTTTGTAGTTGTCCTTGGAGTACACTGCTAGAATGCTGACACCTGAGCCCATGTTAACCAGCAACATAGGGTATGGGTTATCAAGGCAGTATGGCTTCTTTTGACACAACTCAGGATTTGTGGGGTTTTCAAAATAGTAACATTCTGGCTTGCCGTTGAAGCCAACTGAGTCAACGTAAAGCAGGCCCTGAATCAAACAGTCCAGTTCGTCCAGTTTATGCAGCTGCAGGTCGGCAATCTGCAAGAGAACAGAACCCTGTTAGATGCCACAGACCGTGTTGGGAGGAGCCGAGGAGGTGTGTGCTATCTGTAAGATTCATGTTCAAAGAAATACTCTCCGACCCCTAAGTTGTGAAACAGTCACTGCCAGAAAAATAGCTGTGCCACAAGGACAAGAGCTTGCCAGATTCTTGGGAAAGCACCGATTAGCTTGTGTGATTGATGGTCTGAATACGGGCTCTTCTTGTCTTAACGCTGAGAACCTGTGAGTGTGGTCTTATTTGGAAAACAGATCTTTGCAGATATGAAACTTGAAGAAATCACTGTAGGTCGTCTGGATGGATCCTAATTCCAATGACAGGAGACACATTCAGGAAAGGTGTGAGAAGCCCAGAGGATTAAGACTTTTGACGAAGGCAGCAGAGATCTGAATGCTGCACCATGGTCTATGGGAGGCCAACAGCAAGCAGGCACCGGAAAAGGCGAGCAGTATAAACTGCCCGTGGTCTCTACAGAACTGTGTTGTTGCCAGTGCTTTGAGGGCCTCAAGAACTTTGATGGAAGGAACGTCTGTCGTTGTAAACCACCAAATTTGTGGTAAATTGTTGCAACAGCCAAGAGAGGTTAGTGAATTAGAATAGTGAGAAGCTAACAAGAATCATACGTATCCTTGACAGAACATGGGGTCCAAAAGGCCTGGGAATGGATGAAGCAGAATCCCCTGGAACCCACGAAGCCTCTTCCCACACTTGGCTCTGAAGCAGATGGACCTGGCTTTGAACTCTACGTCTAAAACTTACTTAACTGAGATGACATGGGCTGAGTTATTTAGCTTCTCAGTGTTGCTATGAAGATTTCATGATAGTCAGATGCTATCTGCATGGCACTCTCCATGCACACAGGGTTTACTAGATGGAGAGGCCCAGGAGCGTCCTTTCAGAACTCTATGAGGTAAAACTTCCCCTTCTCGGGGATAAAAAGAGAAGGTGATGAACTACATGTGACATAAAGGTAGAAAGGAAGACTATTTTGGAGAGGAAGCAGGTCAGCCAGAGGCAAGCAGGGAGTGGGACACTGTGGGAGGGAGATGAATATGAACAGACATAGAAAATAAAAGTTAATCACTGCCTCAGCTCCAAAGGACTAGGGATGTAGCTCAGCAGTAGTGTGCCTGTGCCTGTTTGTGCAGCCCTGGTTCAACCACCAGGACTGCAAAAAAAAAACCCTAAAACTTAACAATCACCAGCATGAAACTCAACCAATGAAGAAAGATATCATTAAATTTTCACACACACACATACACAGAGAAACAAACAGACAAACACACACACACACACACACACACACACACACACACACACACACACACACAAGCCCTATGAGGCTAGATTTGTGGCACATGTCTATAATCCCAACACTGATGATGTCAATATAGGAACATCATTAGTTCGAGACTAGCCTTGGCTATTTAGCTGCTTCTAAAATAATGATAATAATAATAATGACAACAACAACGAACAAAAACCAAAAAAAACAAACACCATCGGCACTAAAAATATACAAACAGGTTCTATTAGCCTTACTCAGTGGTTAAAACAAGAAGTTAGGTAAATCATCACAAGTGACCCACTAGCCAACTAAGCAAACATCCCATGGTGACTATTTTCATCCTGTCTGCCACTATTATTTATGGGGCCTGGAAAAAAATCTACACAAGTGCTAGACAGAATCAGATATTCTGCTAAAGCTAATAAAAAGCTAGATCTAGATGGTTCCGGCAGTAAAGACTGGAGTTTGGGCTCCCCAGCATTCATGTTCAAGATGTAGACATTATGGCTTCAGACCTTACAATCCTCACTGGAGCTTGCTGGCTGGATAACCTCACTGAGTCTGTAAGCTCCAGGTTCACCAGGAGACCTCGCCTCAGGAAATAAGGTGAAGAGCAATAGTGTGTGCAATATGGCTCACCCACCCACACATCTCACACACAGACAAGAACATACACATGTGACTTGGTGTCATTCATCTGATTTTTCTATTTCACACACTGATGGAATCTATACCTGCACTGCAGAGCTACACTAGGTCGCCAGAGAGGTGATAGAAATATTCTTGATACATGGGAATAAGCATTCTAAGTGACCCAAAGCAAATGCATCCCATAAATGTTTCCAAAAACATCACTTTTATCAAGTGAAACTTTTAAATGAGATATACAATTTACATTTTTAGAGGGCAATGCTATGGCTCTAGAACTATCCTGAAGCCTGAAAAACTAAAGAGGGACACAAGAGGGTACATATTATGTCCTCTGTCTTCTGTGGTTCCATAAACTGAAACCGGCAGCTCTGGTCATTGTCTTGTTTTACCTCAGATGTGCCTTGGTACCGTGCTAAAGGCTGCCCTTAATCACTGCTTAATAAACACTTAGTAAATAAACAGGGAAAGCTGTCACCTCATGGGTCACTCCAGGCTGAAAAGCGGCAATTTCATCAGCCAATCTTGAAAACATAGGTTAGCCTGCTTAAATATTAATCACAGGCTCATCAACAATATTGACAGCCACTCCCAGAGCCAACATCATAAATATGGACATAGGCAATCTGTCCATCTGGATGCCCTGAAACTACCCCCTGGGGGGTAGGGGGAGGAAAGCCTGTCAAGATGAGTGAATTAAACACGTACAACTTTGATCTGAAACACTGTTATGTCATCTTTCCCTTCAGAATGATTTCCCCAAATACAGCGTGAGTAGGAAGCACATATCTCTCCTACACTTCTTTTCAGAACCTTTGGAGCCTAAGGTTATTAAAAGCCCAAACAAAGGGAAACACAAGAGTCACTTTTATAGAGACCTTAGGAAGAAGACCCTAAGGAGAAGAGGTTCCCAGGGGCAAATGAGATTTCCAAGCGGGAAATCTGAAACTCAGGATGCTTTACGGTTTGTCTGTACACCTGAATTTACTTTGGGAAAAGCTGAAAACCTATCCTTCTGATTCCAGCTACAGAGAAATGTTTTCCATGGGCCGGAGTTTCCTTCCACAAGTGGTTAGGACAGAGATGCCAAAGGGGAGGGTAAGAAAACAAAAGGAGCCATCGACTGGCTAAAGGTAACAGAATGCTGAGGACCGTGTCAACAAGACAGTCTGTTCACGTCTACAGTTCACCTTCAGCCACGTGGCAATGGAGCACCAGCCTTTCAATGTTTATACACTGGCAGCTAACTAGCTGTTTTTTATTTTGCACATTGTAAGCCAAGAAAACACACCTGTGTTTTATCCTTTCTTAGCAATTTATAGCTGCTATGGTTTAGATACTTTTTTTTTTCCCTCAAGAGTTCACGTATTCAGAGCATGGTTGCCAGAGTGGCAATGAGTTGGTGGAACTTTCCCCAAGTGGCCCTCAATGGCACATCCTGCCCTAAAAAGAAGCTGACTGAGTTTTCTGAGTCTCTCTTGCCAAGAGAGTCCACTCCACACCCAAGTCATCAATCTGTCGGACTTTTATAGTCTAGTATGCTGGCCTTGGGATGGCTGAGACAGGAGACCAGCCTAAACTACAAAGACAGAGCCTATCTATTAAAAAAAAAAAAAAAAAAAAAAAAAAAAAAAAAAAAAAAAGCTCAAGGTCCAGAACTAATAAACCCCCCTTTTTTCCCTTCCTTTAAGAGAGAGCCTAGCCAGGCGGTGGTGGCTCACAGCTTTAATCCCAGCACTTGGAAGGCAGAGGCAGGAGGATTTCTGAGTTCCAGACCAGCCTAGTCTACAGAGTGAGTTCCAGGACAGCCAGGGCTACACAGAGAAACCCTATCGAGAGAGAGAGAGAGAGAGAGAG